AAGTTTGTGACGAACCTTGCATGTCATCAAAACATACGAAAAATTTCAGCCGGTAGTTGGTACATGATTTGTGTTTACGTTTACGAAAACTAATAAAATTAAACGATGACATGCAAGGTTTTAGACATGCAAGAACGATGACATGCAAGACATGATGAACGATGACATGATGAACGATGACATGCAAGAAATTTTTCGTATGTTTTCGGTGTACTCCGGTGTGATTCAAAGGTACCACAAGCATGCGCGCATATTTTTTCTAAAGTTAAAGTAGTGGGGGTACATATTGGCATCACAGACTGTGAACAGTTTTGTCTTATCTACCGTGTCTGCCGTTGTCCTGTCTTATTAAAAAAGTTCTTGATTTTGAAAGGGACGCATTGTTTCACTTTCCAAGCCTGCTGCAGCATCGCCAAGAAAATAATTCCTCTATTGATAAACACCATTTTAAAACAATAATTTTAAATATGAGGGAAGCATTTCTCAGCAGGTTTCAGGAATTTAAAAACAGCAGAGTAACTTTAGCATTTGTCAAAAATCCTCTTAATGCTGCGATAACCTAGTTGAAATTTTCTCCTTTTGAAATTGACATTGGTAGCTCTGAAATACAATTGCTGGATTTAAAAAACAAGGAGATATGGCCCTCTAAATTCGAACGTCTTTGCGTTGAATTGGAAATATTGGAGAAGAAAAAATTTGATCTTAGTCCACAACACAAGTGGTCTGCTTTGATTGACCTGGAGAAGGACGACATTTTCAACGCTTGGAATAGTATTCCTGACTCTTACGATCAGGTGAAAAAGCTCGCGTTTGCTGTTCTTTCCCTTTTTGATTCTACATAGGTATATATGCGAACAATCTTTTTCAAGCATGAACATTATCAAGAGTGAACTGAGAAGTCGTCTTATTGATGAGAACTTGGAATCATGCCTAAAATAAAAACAAGAACATACAAACCTGACTTACTCAAACTTTCCAAGGAGATGCAAGCGCATTGCTCGCATTAATAAATATTTATTAAGTATGAAATTTAGTTTTATTTAGTGCAATGAAAGTTTACTAAGCAAGCAAATTTGGCTCCCAATTTTTTTTTAAATTGTTGTAATGTTCATATTTGGCTCTTTGTCTAATAAGTTTGCCGACCACTGCCCTACACCAATACTGACTTACATTTTAACACATTTAACATTATATTATACAGGTCATGACATGCAGGTATTATACAGGTCATGACATGCTTCCTAAATGTGAATTTATGTGGTTGAAATTCATTTTTTTTTTACTCTACCTTGTAGATTGTAAAGATTCTATTGTCTACAATTCTATTCACTATTCATTTGGATAAGGTCTATAACCTCATAAGAATAAAATTGAACAGTTTTTGAAAATTGATGGAATGAGGTGGAAAAATATAGTTAAAAGCGAATGATGAAATTTACATTAGTGTTTGTAATTCCTCCAGAATTCCAAATTTAGAAATAAAAGAACTGTAGAACTAAAAGAGCCTGTATAAAAGAACTGTAGAAAAAAAAGAAGACGTAGAAAGTTTAAAAATAGTAATTTAATAATAACAATTTAAAAAAGGAGGACAAGTTTATTTTTGGAAAAGTTAAGAGTAGTTCAAGAGGATTTACAGGGCAAGAAATAATTTGGGCACATAACATACAGCTTTAATTCATATTAAAACTTTAAAACAAACTTAATGTCGAACTGTAATTCTGACAGAAAAATTTCCCAATATCGTCTACTCATATTTTGCCAAACTCCTTGCTCAAGGTTTTTTTCTTTTTTTTTTAGAATTAAAACAAAAAAGCACTAATTTATGTCAGGGGAAAAAAGTAACTGTAAAAGAAAAAAAACTGAGAAGCAGAGCAACTTGCAAGATGGCCATTTTTGTACAGTAAGAAAGTCATTATCATTATTGAATGCCTACCACTTTGTGTACTGAAGTACAGGATCTTATTAGAATTCCTTTTCTGGTTTCTATACAGAAGTTTTGTACCAGAGGAAGCATAACATCTTCCAAAATGAGTTCGCGATTATGGAATAAAAATATTTGTTCCTTGATCTGAGTTATTTCTTGTCACCCTGATTTTGCCTGTCAAAATACTTATTTATAAAGCTTATCATACTGTTCAGTTCCTCTACTGACAATATTAATTTCCTAATTATTAAAAGTTGCAAACAGAAATAAACAGCTTACCCTCTCTGTCAGTTTCTTTTGTTGCTCCCCATCCAACCACCATAGCATTTCGATTGGAATAATCCCGATCCGGATCTGGCAGGCAAATAGGTTGAGCAAAGTTATCAAATTCCAAAGGTCTCTTCAGCTTGAGCAGCGCAACGTCATTGCTGTAGCGTCTGGGTTTACCAAAATCAGGATGGATCTGTATATCAACCACTTGAATGTCAAGATCAGATCGAAAACCACGTACTGAGACGTCGTTGTCACCAGGACGCACACGGAAATAGCGAGGAGCATACCTAAAATACAACCCAATCATTTAAATGAATGCAGCAAGATATACGCTCCAGTCATGATAAAATTAAATACAGGAGGTTTAGTGATGAACACTCTTAATGAATTTAAAGAATTTATGCAAAAAATTTTAAATCCATCAAAAAAAATTAAATAAAAAGGCCTGGGTTGTGGTGGCTCAGGGCACAGAGAGGCTCTCATTTTCCAATGAAGTGAACCTGAGCTGGGTTCGATTCCAATCCCGCACCGACCACACTGTTGACGTAAAATAACCTCAGTGGTAGACGGATCATGGGAGAGAGTGCCCTTGCTGTCAAGCTAACCGGGGGATATTTGCGTGGTTTTCCTCTCTATGTAAAGCTAATGCGGGTAAATTTCATCAAAAATTCCTCCATGAAGGCAAATTTTTCCCAATACTGGATTCAGGAGTTCCCTTGTTTTCTGGATTGTGTTTAAAATTACAAAGCTATGGAGCTGAACACTGGTAGTCGAAAACTCAAAATTGGGTCAGCTGTTTAATAAGGGAAAAACTGTTTAGAACACATTTTCTCCAAATTTACTGTTTCTATGTTTATTACTTTACAAATTAAAACTCAGAAAACACGTTGTGCCTTAACTTTTGGAGGGTACTGCAGTAATAAATTTTTTCAGTGTAGATTTCAGAAGAGATATTCTTTAAAGATAGCTAAAATTATTTGTTCAAGATGATTACACATACCTTATTTTTTCTTATAGAGGATTTAAGACTTGATTACTTAAATACAAGGAATTTCTTTAAAAAAAAATTAACTTTAAGAAAAACTTTTACTTTGGAGTTAGTAAATAATAATAGAAAATTGACTTTGTGTAACAATTATGAAATCCTTGCTAAACTAATAATTTGATTTTTGATTGAGTCATCCGCCATTTTGGGAGTAGCAATAATTGTAATGATAATTTGTTGGTAGAAATTGACGAGAGATTATTGTAAATGATTTGTTTTGAATGCCCCGACACCGAAAGTTTAGTTATAAGTCAAGCATTGTAGCGTAGCTTGTCGTCATGTCGTAATAAATATTTTTAAGAATTGGATGATAAAATTAAAGGCATACACAATGCAAATAAGTAATATTCGACTATCTGAGAATCAAAGAATATAACTTAAGTTGAAATTAAGGAATAATGTAATGGATTTCCTCTAGAAATCTTTCTTTTTTGCATGGGTGAAGTTTTCCCTCTTTTTCTTCGTTTGTCTAACATACTATCTTCAAAAATTTGCAAACATTTTTCAAGATTTAAGCACTACTTTTTTCCTCAAATAGGCCAACCAGGTATGTTTTTTTAAATTTTTTTCATTATTTATATAGAACAGTATTACAAAATTTGTTCTAATATTTGCTTGCTGACTATTGCTTTAATTTGCCTGATTTAGGCTCGTTTGAAAAGTTGCATTGTTTGAATTCAATGAATCAATTATAATTTAATGAATTAATTATATAAATTTAATTCATTCTTTAAAATAAAAATTTATATTTTTAATTTATAACTTCTTTGTTTCTTTTATCTTTTCACATTTAACAAGTCGGTATGTACACCGACAAGCGATGTTATCATAGTTGCCAACATATCAAATAATTCAACGTCCTTTTCATTGAAAAAAAAAACAGGAAAAAAGGGATCTTTTTTTTCTTGGAGGGGGAAAGGAAAACACGAATAAAACCTTTGCAAATTTTAAATTTGTCCCAAAAAATTTTACATTTCTCAAATAAAAAATGCATTTTAGTATTGATTATAAAATGATATTGAAACCTGGAATCGTCTGGAAAATCAAGCAGGTTGGCATTTATATTTTTCTGTGATACATTATTATATTCATAAAATAATAATTATTTTTATTAATTATAGCTTGTATATTTATATTTTATTATATATTATTGCATAGCAATAGTACGTTAATTTGAATAGATCATTTTTTAATATTTACTGAAAAATGTATATTACAGGTTAATATCAAATTAAAACGAAAACAATAAATTGATATTTTAATTAAAAGTATTTTTAGTGAATTTAGTTTGAAATCAATATAATGATTACATTATGTTCATACAAAGAGCTACGAAAGGAATGAAGAAAAGAAACTGTAAGAAAAATGCATGCATTGTACATTGTTTTTAGATGTCAGGTAATGAAGGAGGAAAAAAAAACTGATTGTGGAGGGGAAAAAACTCAAACAAAACTTACCATCTGACTGTTTTCCCATTATCTCTTCTAAAAGTTTATAAAATAAAACAAATTAATATGTTTAGTTTTTAAACAAATCATTAGATTTTTAATAAATTTTGTAATATGCATAGGATACGAGCAAAACAGTGATAGTGAAAGTTTCGGGCTCTGGGAAAGAAAACTACTTATAAAAGCAGTTCTTTGTGTGAGCTCTGTTCACATATATTCTTCTATTCTGAAATCAGAATGTTGAATTGAAAAATTAGCTTAATGATTGATGAAATAGTACTACAACTAACAGTTGTCATAGTAATGGAAAATATATCATGACTCGCATTGTTGCTTAACTTTTCGAAGCAATATTGTTGATGGGAGTTTGAGAATTGATGAAGAGACCTCGGGTAATCTTCTTGTTTGAAAGCAGAATGTCTTATTACAGGAAAGTAAGCGCAATGATCATTTAAAATAATCTACTTGAAAACTCTAATTTGTACAGTTAAGTGTCTTCTGCTGGATTAACTTAAGACGACATTTAATTTGTTGACCTGAAAACGACTTTTGAAGTCACGTGTGCTTTGATTGAGGCAACAATTATTATTAAAGGCCGGGATAGCCTGGTCGGTAGGGCGCTGGGCCCATGTCCGAGAGTTCGAACCCCGCCGGCCGAAGACTCCCCGTGTAGTTGGTGACTGATGCACGTTAAAATTCTGGCGAGTCGCAAAGTCCCCCATGTTCCCATAACAAATCAATACCTCTGGGGATACTGGATTGGAGATTGATCGTTCTCTAATTCAGGTCCAAAATTACGATCTGTGGGTGAATGAATGGATGGGTCCGCCTTATAAACAGTTGTGACGTATGATGTGGCAGAAGTCGAATTCTTGGCCATAGATGGCGCCACAGAAAAACAAGAATCGCACACTCTGCCTTAAATTTGCTCGGCTTCACCAAACAGGCTTGCCCGTGTGGCAAGTGGCATTAGAACCAACCAACCCAACCAATTATTAAGTAATTATTTAATAATTATGCAATTATGGTTAGTTAAAAAATATCATATGATACTTTTGTACTCATTTCAAAGTTATAATATCTTCCTTATATTTATAAAAATATCGAAATTTGAAAAAAGAAAGTTAAATAAAAAAAAAACGATGAGCAAACGGGATGGATTTCTGATGAAATCGTCGTGAATCAAGCGCGTTAAAAATTGGTTACTTAAATTCGAAACCGATTAATTTAAAACGATTTTTCGGTTCAAGCGGCTTTCTGAAATAGCCGAAAAGTGATCGAAAAATAATGTGGATTTACGGAGGCCTTGTTGCGAATATGGGAACCTAGTTGGTCAAAGAGTGATAAAAACTTATCAAGTACTTCTGATATTCATGTGACAGTAATTCGTTTAATTTAGTTTCATCTCATGAGTTGGAAAAAATTTAATATCCGCGTTTATTGATTGTGTTTAATGAAATTATCGGTAAGCCGCCAACAAAATAAATTTAAAACAGGTCAGGTTTCTATATTAACAAATTTAGAGGTAAATATGACCAGATATGCAAGGATATTTTTAAAATTAGCTATAAAACTTTCCTAACCTAACCTAAAATTTTCCTAAGCTAACCTAAAAATCTAAACCTAAGAAAAACATTTAATTAAATCCTTAATATATAAGAACATTTTTGTGTGTGTTTCGCTCTTAAATTTAAGACTGTTTATAGCAAAATCAAATCGTATGAATGGGAAATCACCAGCATGAATTTGAATTTATAAAATGTTACAATTTACTATGCAAATTTAAAGCATTAATTGAATAAAATTTACTTACCGTTTAACACAATGAGCTGCAGTCAACACCCAATGTTTATTTATTATTGTTCCTCCACAATAATGAACTGTTAGCAGCCTAACTGAGACCTAAAAAACAAAGGATAAATGCTGTACAGTTTGATATTATATCAATAGTAAATTATCACTGAAGCTTTCACACCACTATTTAAGAATTTAATTGGTAATTGTACCCTGATGTAAAATATATTTCATTTTTAATTAGTCAATGATACAGATGTAAAATAGTCTGGTTTTAATTTTTTTTGTCGTATGTTTAGGCAGTGGGGGTGCGATTGTTAATGTTTTTCAGTGGCGCCATCTATGGGCAGGAATTCGACTTCTGCCATGCCATTCACACAACCACAACCCGTTTATAGGGCGGGTCACATTCACACACAAAGGAGAAAGGACATAGAACACACAGAGAAGGGATTCGAACCCATGACCTTTCTGATGCAAGGCCGGTCTGCGTCAGGTTTAAATAATTTGTGGTAAATATCCTGGGACCCGGGAAATTCATAAATATTTGTGAGATACCTGGATATTTCTGAATTTTATTAAAAATTCAATGATCATGTTTTTCTTTTGGATTTTACATAATTATATGTATGTAAGGTACAATTAAGTTTTGCTTACATTATCAATAGTTTATTATTTACTAAGCCGAAAAATTCCTTCAATTGGACATGTAAATTATTGGAATCATTCATTGTATTTTAGTTTTTATTTGAGAGGGGGTTATGGTTAAAATCTTCCTAAACTTCGCATTTCGATTTATTATTCTTAATGTTTGTGGTTTAAAACCTTGCTTCTAAAAAAAGTTTTGCCAGAAATATATATTTAAAACGCAAGCTTTTTTCAGATTTTGAGAATTGAAATTTTTCAGATTTTGAGATTTTGATTATTTAGAAAATTTGCCTACAAAACTTTTGCTTCGTTTGAATAATATGTAATCAGGGTTGCCACTCAAATCTGGAAAAAAATTCTCTGTTTTTCCTGTACATGATATACGCAATATATTAAGAGGAAACAACAATTACTGTGCTCTTAAGTGAGCTATATTGGTTTAACTATATTCATTAGTTTTAATTGCTGAAAAAACAGCTGAACATACTTAAATGATGCTATGGTAAATGAAATAGTTTAGCATAGCTGAAATATCATGGTTAAATATCCCACAGATTACGCTTTGAGTGGTCACCATTTTTTAAGACCAAAATAAAAAAAATAAAACAATCCTATATTTTCCCAATTCGTAAAGAAAAAATCAAAATTCCCTGCATTTTCTGTGTTATTTTAGGTGATTTTTAAATTCCCTTACATTTTCCAGGTTTTCCCTGTTCTCCCTGTGGAGTGGCAACCCTGGTAATCCTTCTCGGATCCATATTTAGTGGTGATGTGATCGTATCTGAGCAATAATGTTTGATGTATTAATTTAAATTGAATGTAAATTTTTGAATTTTTATATAATTAAAAGTAACTAAATAAAAAAATATAGAGCTTAATATTAATATGATTTTTAGGGGGGGTAAAAAATATATGGTAATGCTAGTTGCATATTTCCAGGGTTGCCACTCAAATCTGGAAAGAAAATTCCCTGTGTTTTCCCTATACATATTGTACAAAATATATTAAGAAGAAACAGCAATTACTGTGCTCTTGTGTGAGCTATTTGGGCTAACTATATTTTTTAGTTTTAATTGCTGGAAAAACAGCTGAATATACTTATATAATGCTAGAGTAAATGAAATAGTTTAGTATAGCTGAAATATCATGGTTAAATATCCCATAAATTACGCTTTGAATGGTTATCATCTTTGAAAAGACAAAAATAAGAAACAAAATTCCTTACATTTTCCCAGTGTGTGAAGAAAAAATCAAAATTCCCTGCATTTTCCCTGTTATTTTAGGTAATTTTTAAATTCCCTGTATTTTCCAGGTAGGGGAGAGGGGGGCACATGTGAACAGGGGGCACATGTGAACATGGTATGTTTTACCAATATGATTTGAAATAAAAAATCTCGAAAAATTTTCAATTGATGGCAGTACTAGTCCTACCTCTCTGAAAAACTTTCAGAACAATGAGACATTTTGTTGGTCTATTCTGACAATTTCTTTGTATCAGCTGGTGTTGCATATATTATAATCGCTCGCTTCTCCAAGTGAAAGCATAATATAAATCAACTAATAAACTAAAATTAACTATTGCAGATCATTATATGAACATTCAGGTAAGTTTATGACAATTATTCTTTTTTTTTACTCAATTAAAAGTTCTTTATTTTTCAAGTTAGGTTTAAGAAGGATGATGGGGGCACTTGTGAACAAAACATCTGGGGCAGATGTGAACAGTTCACAAGTGCCCCTACATAGTATTAAGATTATTATCCTCATGATATTATAAGTTTAAAAAATATGTATGCATTTAAAATTATCATTATTTAATTTTCCATAATTAATTTATTAATTTTTCCTTTAAAAAATTTTTTTTTTATTAAATGGTTGATCGCGCATCACGCATATTAACTGATACACCTGAGAAAATAGAATTGTTAAAGCTACAAATGAAAAGATAGAAAAAATGAAAAAAAAAACATGAAAGAGTATTAGAGAAGAAAGAAAAAGGCCCATTACAACACCCGTGGAACATGAAGTTGCGAAAAACCCAATTACGGATAAATTATTGTACAGCTGAAAAATTATTTTCTTATTGACAGTACTGTTGTACAATTTAAATTCACATAGTAAGCTACAACCCCCTCAGTATAATGCGTATCTATATCTGTTATATTAAAGATTTTTTTTCTTTGAAATATGATGATTGCTTTGTGTTTTTAATCTTGTTCATATGTGCCCCAGGCCTGTTCACATGTGCCCCCAATAGGGGCACATGTGAACAATTGAAGTCATTTTTCTAAAATATTATAAAGTAAAGAAATATTTTATTGAAAAATCTCAAAAAATTCCACAAGACAAAGAAAATACTATTTAAACATATGGACTTTTTTACTATGAAAAATTGATGATATTTTTCGAAAAGTGAAGAAATAAAAAAATTTGTTCACATGTGCCCCCCTCTCCCCTATTCCCTGTTCTCCCTGTGGAGTGGCAACCCTGGTTTCATTAATTTTGCATGTTAAGTCCAATAGGTTGTTACACTTCTTCCCTTATAAAAAAAAAACAGAAAAGGGGAACTATTATTTGTTTTTCTATTTTTAAAATTAAATGTCTTAACTTATTGAATAACTCTAAGCAAAGATTTACATATATTATTTATTACATAAAAATTTAATAAATAAATAAATATATATTAAGTTTTACTATACCTAATGTTTTAGAGAAGGGAAATTTAATTATACTTGGAAAACTATTAGAATGAAAAAGAGTACTTATTATAATTATAAATATTTTTGTTTTAAAATGAATAAAATTGATTTGGAAAAATTGTTCTTTATAAATTAAATGTCATGATTTAAAGTCTGATTAGGATACAGCAAGTGAAAGTGAAAGCAAAAGCTGACAAATATGCAATAATTTATCTGAACCAAATTAATAAATAATGTAATATTTAAAATAAGTTATATAATAATATTTAGTAAATAATATTTGATAGATTAAGAATTAAAATATATATTAATTACCTTTCTTACTTATTTGTATAAATAAACATTAGAGAAAAACTTAAGAGAAAGTATGTTTAGTGATTTAAAGTATGATTTAAAGTATGACTAGTATATCAATATGATGATATATTTTTTTAAAAGTTTTGTTAAATGCTTTCACTGCAATATTTTGTAAAAATAACTTATTATTACAAATTTTCTATAATCTTTTTAAAAAAAATTTTGGTTATTGAAAAGTGTTAAAATTAATCTCGAGTTAAATCAAACATTACATTGAAGGAATAGTCTCAAAATAACTACTATAAAGATAACAATAATAATAAGAAACAACGTGGAGTTTTTTTTTTTTTGTTGAGATTTTTTAAATATTTTAGTATGATGCTACCATTCATTAACAGTATGATATTGTTTTTCATTTTATTATTTCATTAAAATTCATTATATTTAGTTAAATGTATGTAACATATAAAGGAAAACTTCAAAAACCAAATTTCTAATCAAGTATAAAATAAATTTAAAAAGACAGGAAAACCATTTTGTTATGTCCATCCTTCACATTCTAATAACAATTGTTTTTAATTCTTCTTTTCTTTAAAATTTTATTAAATATGGCTAATACAATATTTATGAATAATGAAATTTAATTTTAAGAAAGGATGTAACATTTTATAAATAAAAAAAACATTTTTTCTTATTTTAATTCTATTATCCACGATTTGACATTTATTTCAGTGCTGCCATCTGTTTTCAGCCAGCTAAACCTTTTCCCATTTCGTTATTTTATTCGAAATTGAACGGGACTTGCAAGCAAGTTGATAAACAGACAATATAATGGAAAAACGAAATAAGTAATCACTTCACTCTATATTCACCAGTTAACCATTTTCATTAAAATTAAAATTAACTTTTTGAATCATTTTGTGTCTGAAATTATATTGTATAGAAATATTTTGTAAATTGTTGTATATTGTATTGTACACGTGACGTCATTACCAATCAGGGATCGATTTTGATTGCATTCACTTAGGCCTATTTGGCTTTTTGCACACTGGCCTTTTTGGACAATTTAAATGTTTAAGAATTAAATAAACATTTGAGGAAAAATACAATTAGATATTCGGTTTCAGGAGAGAATTTCCAGTAAGTTAGGATTGAAAATTGAAAAGAAATTAAAAGATGCTGTAATTGACTATTCTGAATATACGACTGCCAATGTTCAACTACTTAGGCTTGCAATTTTGTAAATAATACGGAAGACAGAGGAACTCCTGATTTAAGTATTAGACAAATTAACCTATGTGAATTTTTGTTGTTGATAGAACTAACCCACATTAGTGCTACATGGAAAAGAAAGTCCTGAAAACCTCTGACAGTCAGCCCGATAGCGAGAGGATTGTAACCCATGATCCATCTATCAATGAAGATATCTTAGAGCAACACTGTGATCGGTGCGAGCCAGGTGCTGAATTTGTATCAACCAACCATCGCTGGGATTTGAACCTGAATACCTCTTTGGGGAGCGAATGCTCAATCTCCAGGGAAACTGCGGCTAACCAGGCAATCGACCAGGATCGTCAAGGATTAGTTTGATTCATAATTCTTCCTTGCTGCTTAAATAATTTGAGCTATATCTGTAATATTTTCTTCTTATCTCAGTGACGTAATTTTTTTTGCAGCTACAACTCTACTTATTTGGTTTATTTTTTTTTTTTTTTTAACAAACAAATATAACTTTATTGAGAACAAAAACACATAAATACAAAGAATATATATTCGTCGTCAAGAGGAAAATCCTGTCCAGGCGACAAAGAAAAGTAATACTATAAATTTAAAATAGAAATTAAAAAAAAGAAAGAAAAAAAAGGGGGTATTACAATCATAAATTATTTTGCTCATCATAAGACGTCATATATTGTTGAACACTGTAATAATAAAAAAAAAAAAAAAAATGCATGAAACTATATATATAAAAAAATAAATAAATAAATAAAAAAAAAATAACAAAGGTAACATAAATTCATTTGGATTGGCACAAGACTGGTATAAAAAATCAAATGCTTCCTTTAAAGTGAAAAATAGAGATCTAAATCGTCAATGTTCATCACAAATTGAAATAAAGCACGCTTAAAAGAAGAATATATTTTGATGTTTTGCAACTGAAATGGTAATTTATTATATAATTTAGGTGCTAAGTAAAAAAACTGTTTTCGTGAAATTTCTTTTGTAAAGAAGGGAATCTCATACATTTCAGTTGGTCTCCTTTCAGACACATTAGTTTTTAATTTGCATATTAATTTATTGTTGTGTAAATAGAGTAAAATACGAAAAAATACATTATGGCGAAATGGTAATAGGTTAATTCTTGTATATATATTGGTAGTAGTTACACTTGAATTATTTATATTTAGAGAATTAATAATCTTGAAGCATTTATTCTGAACTGAGATTAAGGGAAGTAAATTAGTTTTATATTCACCGCCATATATTATCGCACCATAATTAATTAAAGAATAAAACCAGGAGTAATAGAGTGCTTTCACAAAATTAAAATGAATTTTATTCTTAAGGTGATAAAATTTAACTAAAACGAAACGCAATTTTTTAACTAAATTGTTAATATGTGTTTTCCATTTTAAATTAGAATCGATATATAGTCCTAAATATTTGATATTATTTACAGATTGTAGAATATAGCATTGACAATTTTCATTAGTACTTTTGCAGGAGAGAGAGTGAAATTTTAAATTTAAGTTAAATTCTGATGTTCTTAAACTGAAATAATAGTTATTCTATGTTATATTTGTATTTTATAAATAATTATGAATTATGGTTTTCTTACCGCCCAAGGAAACTCTCCTCCGAATGTATTGCGACCACCAACGATTCTACCACTTCTATTCATTCCCATGAATCTCCTTCCACATGTTCGCTTGGGAACTAAAAAAAAGCAAAAGTTTCACAAAGAAAAAATTTAATTAGTTCCAGATACAAAATCATTTTTAAACATGAAATTACAATAATTTTTTTCTCGTGTACTTATTTGCAATTAATGTTTAGTTTGAATATAGCTGTTGGTACCGGGCAGATCAACACTGAAAAATAATTCTGTGAAAATTGAGATGTTAGGTAACGATATTCTGCTTGATTCTCTCTTTCTCATAAATTAATAAATAACGACAGATTCCTTCACTTCAAACAACAGTTCTTTCTCATAAATTAATAAATAACGACAGATTCCTTCACTTCAAACAACAGTTCTTTCTCTTAAATTAAAAAATAAAGACAGATTCCTTCACTTCAAACTACAGTTCTTTCTCATAAATTAATAAATAACGACAGATTCTTTCACTTCGAGCTACAGTTTAAATTCGTTGTTACATCTTCAGAAATGAAATTAAGGGAAAAAAAAAAAAGGATGTGATTGAAAGTAATAAATAAGAATAATTAACGATCATTCAATTTTTATCAGCTAAGCAATGATCGAATTACTAGTTGTATTATTTAAATTTATCAAGACACAGCAACTTCTATTCATGTGCAAAAACTTGTTTATGACACTATTTTTCTGTTCTATTCCATGGGCTGGAGAGGGGAGGGGGTACGAGATCTTTCAAAAGGAGTATTTTTCGAAAGGATCATTTCAGTATCTTGGTTTATTTCAAAGTTTCTATTTTGAGGTTTAGAGTTTTGTGAAAGATCTGTATACGGACCTAATTTATTTCTAATACTGACCAATGGTTGCATAAATTCACAATCTCAATCACATGCATGTATGATTTTTAAATTACTAATAATGCATTTTTCGTGTGACACAAAATTAGATACAAATATATATCGGCGAAATATATATTTGTTTATACAAATATATATCATTTCAGCGAAAACAAATTATTAAAATATTTCTTTAAAAAAGATCTCTAAAAGCGAAAAAACTGTGTTCTTTTTCTCAATTATATAATTACTAATTTAAATGAATATCAAACCACTTTGAATTGTTGTAACAAATTGCAGTTTGCGACTAAAGAATAAGGATATCAGAGCCAAATCTACCATTACTGAAATAGAATGGAATCGGGAAAACCATTGCAACGAAAACCACATTTTCTTTTCATTTACTATTTTTTTTAATACGAAATTATTCCACACTAAAATCTTATTACTTTTTAACTCTTTGGATTTGTGTTCAATCTACCATGAATCTATTTAGTTGTATTGATCGTTTTTCTGACAGTTAATGCCATAAAATTTCTCATAGTTTTTATAACAAAATAAAATTTAAAAATTTAATTATAAAATTATTTAAAAAATTTAAAGAATGGAGGACCACGAAATGTTTTCAAACCGCTCGAGGAGTTAGCATAGTTTTTCACTTCAAACTTAAAACTTTATTTTTAAATACAAAGGGTCTGTATTGTATTTCTAGGACTCAGATTGAAAAAATGAAATTGTGCATTACTTACTGGCAGGAGTAGTTTCTCTTTTTTCCAATTTCAATTGCATTTCCATAAAGGCGGCAAGAAGTGAATCATCCGAATCAAGAATTGGAGGCTCTGTCCGCTCCTCCTCCTCCTCCTCACTCTTAGGACTGCGTGTGCTTTCTGTAAAAAAAAAAAAAAAAAAAAAAAAAGGTAAAAAAAAAGAGAAATTCTCCTTAATTCTTGTCATAATCAAAATGTTGTTATGTTCGAAATAATTATTATGTTCAATATTTTCACATATATGTATTACAGTAATTTTTGTTCAAATCATAGTAAAATAAACCAAGTTGACATAATTTTCAAGATAAATATAATAAACTTATAGAATAATATTTGTCATACGATTTCCATGTCTCTCAGATTCCTGTGAATTTCCGAAAAGTGGCCGGAAAATTTAAAAACAAGTATTGAGCCATCTATTGAGAAAATGGTAAATTACATATTGGGTGAACTGAGTTTGGGCTTCATGGAATTGAAGTACTGATTTTACTCTTGACCGAACTCAGGCGGACATTCCAAAATTGGCATATTTGCATTACAAAACAGTTCAATTTCGTTCTTTCTTATTCTTTTTTTTGTAAAAAAAAACTATTTTTACCAGTTTATTTAATTTCATTTAAAATTTTTACTCAAATAATAAAAAAAAAAAAACCATCTAACTTTTTGAAGAAATATCGCTTATAAGAGGCAAATACGAAAAAATTTTCCATCAAACAGAACAGGAATCCATATTATGTTTAAACCAGAAATATCGTACTTTACAAATATTTGAAAACAGGACTTACAAACAGGACTAAATACTTTTAAGTTTACTATTTGCAACTAATGTGAATATTAATTTCTATCTACCTGACCCTATCTGTAAAATATTTCACTTTGAAAAAAATCACGACTTCTGATAAATTTCTATCGATTCAAACAATAATCTTTAATTAAATTAAATTATAATCTAATAAGACTATAACTTAAAACAAATTATAATCTTTCAAAAAATTCACAATAATTGATTCTATCTTGTCAAACATATTTATAAAATAAAATCTCAAGAAATTTGAAATAATATATTTATGCGACCATATTTTTAAACTATTTCACTTCGAAAAATTCAAAGCTACCGATCAAATTCTATCTATCAAAGCATGCTGTAATCTGATTTAAAAGGAAATAATTATAGATCAATTTCCTATCTATCTGTACAAATCTTTGGGACCATGTGAAGCAGTCTAGATTTATTCTCTTTGCCCATAGTTTTTGTGAATTGTGAGATTGCGTTTTCCAAGTGCAATAGCAAAAATAAACTGTCAACAAATGAAATTACTCAAAGTAGATAAAGGTTAAACGCAAACTTAACTAGCACATTGACCTCCACACAGATATATTAACTTTGGAAGCTAATTTCCCTAACTGACCTATAGAATCAAAAATAAAATGCCATGTCTACTAGAATTCAAAAATAACGTCACTTAGAGCTGAAAGAAAATGAAATTCCAAGAGAGTAATTTAAAACTTATTTAAACAAACATGTTGGTGGAATTAAATCAGCTTTAGGCAGTTGCAGTTTAAATAACATTTATTTTGAAGGTAAAGTGTCATTTATTTTATATTTTCTTTTCAAAAAAAAAAAAAAAAACTTTCTTAAATTTAAATTAGAGTTTTTATTTAAATCAAATTTATATTTCTTTAACATAAGGTGCTTGAAGTGTGTGTATATATATGTATGTATATAGTACAGCATTCATGTTTCTTCTTTTTTTTTGCTTTTCAGAACGAAATTTACTTAGTACGAAAAGCAATTTTTTGAAATTATTTTCAAAGTAAAGATTCATTTATATGTGTGACATAAACTTTAATAATATAAGCTGACGAGAAATAAAACTATTGAAATCTTACGTTTTTTTGATTATTTTTTATATTAAATTTTTTAATCTTTTTGTAGCTTATTTTTTCGTACTGAAATGTCATCATCAGCAACTGATCTTGTCATCTGGCAAATCAGTTCATAAGATGTAATGTGAATTCTTCAAATGAATTCAACAGAAATTGACTTTTATTTTACAATAGCATAGCCTATATTTAAGATTCTTATTGGCAATCGAATTTTTAAGGTTGGCGAGCAAGTTTTGTCTTATAAAATGTTGCGTTTGAAATCAATTCACCATATTTTTCCTAAGAGTTGTGAGTTAATGGGGAGCAAAAGTTTGTATGGCTAGTACTTTCTATTTAAGAAATGAAATTTCATACCCTCTATACTGCATATGCTTAGTTTATTAATAATCCTGTCAATGCATAATTTTCTTTTACTGCCTATTAAGATACTTTTAATCGAAAAAATTAATTAGAAAAATTAAGACTATTCTTAACGGTTCCTACTTTCCGACAAATTTTCACCACTTTCATACGATTGGAAACACTTCTATTTATGTCCTGGTCAAAATCAGTTTTTACCGGTTGAAATTACCGCCCTGGCCAATTTACTACTAATCTATTTCAATATCAATTAATATTATTTAACGTATAGTCAAATACAAAAACAGGCTCTGCCCATTTCAATTTAAAAATTTTTTTGAAAACTATTAAAATTAAGTTTGATAATCAACGGGATTATTATTTTTTTGTTGCACTCATGGACAAAAAAATTAGCTCACCAAGAAGGAGTCGTAAAAATGAAACGAAATTTTACGTGCGTAATGACTACTTTGATGTAAGTAAATGATTAGAAAATCAAAGATTATCGTTTTTCATTGATTTTCTAATCATTTACTTATATCAAAGTAGTTATTACGTATGTAAAATTTCGTTTCACTTTGACGACTCCTTTTTGGTGCGCTTATTTTTTTGTCCATGAGTGTATATTTAATGGAAGGAAAATTAGGAAAAAGTGATATTTGAAGCGTGTAAAAGTGTCCTACGCTTAATTTTAGCAGTGAAAAAAAAAAGAAATAAAAAGGAAAAAATATGAAGTGCAAATATGTATACTAATAGAATACCTGCCAATTTTTACAGTGGCAATGAAAAGTCACTTGATTGCCCATCAATAAGTATGTGTATATACTTCTGAGGTTTGGGACACTGTACGATTGACTATAGGTTTTTGAGGTTTGGGACTTGACGGTTTTACGTTACAGAGCCGAAACCAAATTATGTCTTCATTTGGAACTTATGCTCTTTTCAAGTTGATTAGCTTTATTCAAACAAACAGATTGTTTCAAAGAAGGTAATCCTATAAATTTCATAAAGTAATTACATACGTGATTCAACTGACGAAACAATTTTACTTCAACTTGTGAGGTGTTATCTTATCAATCAATCATTTCTCTGTATAATCAACATACGACAGGTATCCTGTCATACAGACCATATAGTTAAGAAAAGGAAATCCTCACCTTCATTTATGGCGAACACAACTTACAATGCTCCATTCACAAACCTAGTGATTTGTATGTACAACATAGCTATTCAAAAAGATACAATGAGTACCACAGACTGAAGAAATATGAAACACGTGTTCATTTATCAGTAAGGTGGTTCATTTCCTGCTCATAGAAACTCCTGGGAGGTAAAACACCTGCACGCAAATGTGTTGTGTACGACAAGAAAGGTATCTTTACTTATCTCTCTATTCTAAAAAAAAGTTTTTGCAGTTAATTTTGTCCCCTGAAAAACTTTTTAGCTACGTGATGAAAATCTAAGATTAAGGAATCAATTCATTCAGAATCTTTCAGGGAAGACATTTAGGGCATTCAAATCTTTTACATAATTTTAAATTTTTATTTATTTTAGTTTTAAAGCACGATTTTGCAGTTAATAATGAAGAATAACCGCCGTTCACAACAGCCAATCACATGTCTGAAAACGGCAAGCTTAAAAAAGCGATTTACAAGTCTGAATTTTCTTTTTCAGAGATGCAACCAATCACAAAATAGTTAGAATTTCATTCTTCAGTTTTACAACATCTCAACTTATTTCGTATTGATATATTGATTAATCTGATTATTTGTTTTCTAAAACGTTAATTCGTAAGTTTAATCTGGTTTTAAATCTTAATTCGATTTGTTTATTTACAAGTAATGCCTAAAAAGAAAAGACCTAACATTACTAAAAAGTCGCAACTCAATGCGAAAGCTAATCGAAAGCGGGAAAAACGTAAACTTCATAGTATAGAAGAAAATAATGCTCTTTTGCTTATACAACCTAATGATGATTCAACTAACAAAAAAAAAGTTAAACTAACAAAGGCATTTAGAGAACAAATAGGACAAAGAAGGAACTGTAGTCAACGAAAAAAAGTGACATTGATATTGACACACTGCTTATTCTGCATTTAAGAAAATTAATTCTTTTCGATGATAACAGTTAATATTCAGTTTAATATTGAAATATATGAAATCAAAGCATTCTTGGTTTTGCGAAGCAAACCAAGCAAATTCTCCGGGGGTTGGCGAGCGTTAGCGAGCAGGGGGCGGAGCCCTCTAGTTATATAGAAAAAAAATCTTTTCTCTATAGACTTCGCAGGAATTTTTCAATGCGGGAAAAAAAATCGAAACTCATTTTGAAAATTATTTCAAATTCAAACGTGAAGTCTACGATGTCAATACGATAAAGTTCAAAAACAATAAGCTAATTAAAAAAAAAAGCATTAAACAAGCGCTTGAGAGCTACCAAGGGGCACAAATGCTATGTTAATTAGTACATGTTGCTATGTCAAAAATCTTTAACAATATAAAAAATATCATCAGTATTTACTGTTACGCTGAAATAATTGATATAATTTAAATTATTGTTTTTAAATATTTAAGTAATTCTGCTAACTTATAAATTAACCATTCAATGAAATAATCATAACAAAATAGGCTTACATATTGCACATTTTCAGAACAATGGACCACATGAAATAATTCGAAGATGTCAACTTTATGAAAGTTAAAAAAAACTATTAGCTTGTCTAAAATATTAAATAAGTGTTTGAGAGTAGGAAAGGACAAATACTTTAACGCACGTTAGCCTACCTAAAAACTTCAACAAAGCAAAAATTATCAATATTTACAGTTGCATTAAAATCAGTAACATAATTTACCTTATTGATTGTTTTTAAATATTGAAGTTATTCTGTTAATTAACCATTTAACCAAATAATAAAAAAATTTTTACAAATTCTGCATTTTTCGTACAATAGACTACATGAAAAATAGAAAAGGGTATCCTTAATTGAAAATTAATTTTCGTGTCTATCTTCCTGTTTTCACTTTTGTTAAGGACTCAAAAAACACACTTTACTGGTGGTCTTTACGTAACACCTTGTATACTATTAGCATACCAGCCATCCTTTACACTCTTCAAAGAAGTATTTTCCTTGATGTATTGAAATGAAAATCGGATTGGCACGGTTATCCTTATCCTACGCAGCACTTAAAAATATCAATAATCACTAACAGCCCTGCGATTAGTACGTTTAGAGTATACTAAAGTAATTTTAAATCAAATTTAATAGCACAAGAACTATATACATAGCTGACAACATGCAAAGGAAATATAATTTACTAAATATAAAATTTCTTCGAACTATTTCTAAAAGTTTTAACGTATAAAGTTTCAGGATTTTTACAGTCAATAAAATACAAAAAAAGAAAAAAAAAAGAAAAGAAAATTCCACTAATAACAATATATTTAAAATGACTGGAATATTTCCTATTTATGATTTCCATTAAATGAGTTTGAATATGGACTAGTTTCATTATTTTACATTCATTTTCGAATTTATAAAATTCAATAACAGATTATAGCTAGTGTTCTCTCTTAGCGTTTTTAGAAGGGTGGCCATCACTGCCAGCCTTTGATCCGTACAAATGCTCCCTCCTTCCTTTTTTTTTTGTTGTAAAAGTAAACCACCAACCCTTAAAAACACTGACTTTTTATTCATATTAGATTTTTAAGAAAAATTAAAAACTGTTTAAATAATAATTGCACACAGAAATTTTCTGTGTTCACAGGTTCAATTCCGATCACTCTCGTTTCTTTGGGGGTACATAAATAAATTTTTAAAGTAATTTTAAATTTTTTAAAAAATTCCCCTTCAAATGTTCTTTTTTTTAAATAATTTTAGAATAAATTATAGAAAAAAATCTTTTAAACTGTTTATCAAAAAAAATAATTTTTTTGGTTTACTTTTTTTTGAAAAAAAAAAAAATGTAAGCGCAAAAATGTTTTCTTATAGTATACCTTTAATTATTATTTATAAACTACAAATTTTTCTTTCATTTAGATAATGAGTGAAAATTACTTTCTGAAGAATACACATTAAATAGTATAAGGCGGTAACTTAAAAATTGTTTAAAATAAAATTTAGTTATTACAGGATATAACACATTTTGATAAATTTTTTCGATGTTGAGTGCCCTTTTGAAACTCAAAGCGACCATTTCTGTGAGAAGCACCCTGCCCTTTTTTATTCCTAAGGCGAACTTTAATTATTACATATTCCATAATTAATTTAAAAATAGAAAAAAGAAACTGTAGAAAAGAGGAAAAAATATAACTGATAATTTTAATTTCGGTTTACTTCATTATTTCGCAGCAACACTTATTTAAATATTAAAGCAAACAATGAAGGAATCGAGTAAAAAAAAAAAAAAAAAGATCATCTGAGCGATTTTTATTTTTCAATTTTAGGAAAAGTTCTGAAATATACAAAACAAAAATTAAGAGAATTTTTGATTTAGACTGTAAAAACTGGTAAAACCCTGAAATACTGAAAAAAAACAACAACAACTTCAAATTGATTAGTTTAAATATTCAAACAAAGAATGAATTGAGTAATGAAAACTATCTTGACAGGTTTTCTTTTCAATTTTTAGAAATTTGCTAAAATAGACAAAAACCAAGAAATTTCTGGCTTAAATCTATATAAGTTTACACAATCCAGCAATACTGTATAAAGTTCAATTAATTATATTGAGCTCGGCTCACTTCATTAATCAGCTGTAATATTTATTTAAATATTAAAGCAAACAACAAATGAATAGAGTAAAAATATAATGACTAGAATTTTCTTTCTCCGATATAATTGGAGAAATTTCTGAAATATGCAAATCTAAAACTGATCTTTGAGGTAAAAAAAAAAAAAAGAGTAAATAAACAAAGGAACTTAGTCTTCATCAAGGTCAATAAATGTTTTTGAATGAAAAAAATTTACTCAACTTTAGTTTTCAAAAATGCGAGAAGAAAAAAAAACTTTAAGGTGATGCACTTAAATCAAAATTGCTATTTCACAATTAATAAATGAAAACTTAACTATATCCATTTAGTTTTGTTATTCCTATTTGTATTGATACTATGGTTTTTAAAACTTATTTAATATATTAAACAAAAGAAAGAGTTATTCTAGGAGTAATTTAAAAATAATTAATATTGATCATTTGATATCTGACAAAATGTCTGTTTGGCTTTACGATTAGTAAGGTTGTTGAACTAGAATAAAAATAACTACGATTTTGTCCATAGAGTGGTTAGTTTGTAATAACTATTTAGCAATATTACCAAGAATTTTAAGTATCTTAAGAATCTTAAGAATTTTAAGTATTTTAGTTTTCAGTATTGTTGTTGACACGTTAAGTATTGTCAGTCAAAGTCTTACTCATTAAATTATTTAAAAAAAAAAGTCAGATTTTGAACATAAACTTTTTTCTTTATCTCTCAAATCAAATGAATACTGCTTAGTTCTGATCAAGTGCATATTTTACAGACAAAATATATGAAAAGCTAGACAAAATAATACACCGCTTGATAAATAAAATAGTTAAAAAACAAGCAAACACAACAAGTAACTAAGCAACTAAGTTGTAGAAGTCAGAGAATCGATATCTAATCAATCAAATGTAAATAATTAGACATGTCTTAACACAATTATCGATTAAAACAGAAAAAGCATAAGACAACAAAGGGCAGTCCATGACCAAAATATTAATTAAAATAAGAACTAAATAAATAGACTCTGTTTTGAATACCTTTAAGAAATTTTTTTCTTCAATATTAGTTAAAAATTTAATAAAAAAAAAACTTGTGAGTCATAATTAAACGCTCGCAATAAAAACATCCAATAAGTGGAGCAAGGGAAATAAACAACATCGTGGTAAAAAGAAGAAAATCAGTTGCCCACATTACTTTTAAGTACACACATTCAATCAAAAAATTTTTTCTTCTTTTCTAAATAGAGCAGCAGAAACATTTATAAAAACAATTTCAACTGATGAAATGTACATTTAAAATTCAAAGAAATTTTCAAAGCTTAGTTTCACGATAGATGATTTAATACTGTTACAAATCTCTCTGAAATCGCACTGACCATATTCAAACTGAATATAATTTGGTGAATAATTAGAAAAAAACAAAGACAAAAAAAAACTGCTTTTAGATAAAACCTAAATGAAAATACTCGAATTAAACACGGAATCATAAAAGTCAATAATAAAACTAATTTCGGCAAGGCACTGTTTATCTGTTCTTAATTTAAAGACGTTCATCTACGTGCATTTTTACTTAAAATTGTACTCATCAATTATCTTATTTTTATATTGTTACGATTCAAAATCTTACCTGTTGTTTGAGTGGTTTCATTGCCGAGCATCAGCTGATCGTCGACGACAGTTACGTTATTATCATCAGCAACAAAGTTTTCCTTGAACTTGCTGGTTGTTACATCATAGATTGCGGAGGTGGTTGTAGGCGGATGCGCGGCCCACGTGCACCCTAGCCCGAACATCAGCAATGAGAGGCACCAATACCTGGCCATGTCTCGCGCGAAGTATATCCGATTGAAATCGCTGAACTAGAAGTTCTGATTGAAGAGGCCTCACGGCATAATCCGAGCGTTCCAATGCAACTGGAAAGTCCCCTTGAAAAAACACTCTCACACACACCGTTAGAAAAAGCGACAGCGAATGGACTTGCTGGAAAGCAGGGGTCGAACTGGGTTATTGGTCAGGTAGGATCGTTCGCCAGGTGTGAGCCGCCATTGTTACGACCTACTGACCCCGATCAGGGTTGCTCTTCTCTGAAAAGAAAAGAAAAGCATTTTGTGGGGGTGTCAGAAAAAGGTGAGAGTTTAGGGAGGGAGGGATGCTCGGACCTTGTCCCCCTGTCCAACGCGGAGAACGGTCAGGTGATAAGAAGTTCCACCCCCCCACTCCTACGTTGATAAACAAAGTCTTACTGTAGCAGATAAAATGAGATTAATTTTAAGATTGGAAATCGTGGAAGTTTCGATCATAGAATTGGAAGAAAAAAAAGTTTCCATTGATTGTTGGGTGGGATATTAATAAAACTGGTTTTAAACAGAATTTTTAAAATTTTTTTTATTCTTTTTCATTTTAATAATGCAGTCATTGTAAAAAAATTAGTTTTTCTTTAAACATTGGCAAACATTGGTCGAAGTTACTTTTAAATACAATGCGTTTTATATACACGTGGAAGTTTTAGAAACTTCCACGTGTGTATATAGGAGCGCGTGCTTGGAAACACAGTACTAAGGTTCTTGTTTTAGAAAACTTAAATTCGTAGCAAAATTCTACATTTATATTTTTATTTTATATTTAGCACGGTCTGTTCTTTATAGTAAATTAAATTTTCTCCGACTTTATGATAGTTTTTAATAAAAAAAAAGTGTCTTGATATGATTTATTATTATTTAAAAGGAATTTAAGGAGACAACAAGAACACATCTTTTAGGAAAACGATTCTTGAAATAATGGTTTTTTGAAATCGTTTTCTTGTTTTCAATTTTAAAATTTGTCGTTGAATAATACAAAAAAAAGAAGAAAAAAAAAACACCTCTTAAAATATTTTAAAAGATAAACTAAAAATATATTTTGAATAAGAAATATATTGAAATTAACGTTTTAGGTTTGCACGTTTTCCAATACAGAGATGTTTAACAATTTCAGACAAAAAAATTGTCTGTGTTTTACTTTAATAATTATAATAATCCGTTCACATTAAATAAATAATAGTTTAAAACGAAATGCCCCCTCCCCTTTTTTTTCTTCTTTTTTTAACGAAAATGAACAACACGTTTTTTTACACGGATTCATTTCGGACTCTTTTTCTCAATTTTAAATATAAAATTTTGAAATTAAATGCAAAGATGCCAACTGCTCCGGATTTCATAAAATATTTTACAAAACGGTAGAGAACTACAAACTAAACGTTGCAGATTTTCTGTTAATTTGACAACTTTTTAAAAAGGTTAACACGACTTTACTGTAATTAAGTGGCGAATAACGTAAACATTCGAATTATTTAGAAGTAGTGGGGGAGTAAAATCTTTATAAATCGAATTTACTTAACCAAGAATCGTACATTAAAAGATTACCACTCTAGAATATTTATTCGCTGTCTGGAGCAAGTTGGTATCACTGTAAATGTAGCAAGAATTCTTAAGACCTTATTTTTATATAGTAACGAATTCTTCAAAAAGCAGTTGATTGTAAACTGTGCAAAAGATCATTTCAATTTATTTTTTGGAATATGAAAACATTTTCTCATATATATTCTGGGTTTGTCTGTTGTAGCTAATACAATATTTACCTCTCATTTTCATTTTTCTTCATCCTAATTTAGTCCATTTACACAAATGTTTCTAAAGCATTAGTTAGAAACCTATATATTTATATAAAATGAAGAATATATCTAGATTATAAATTAAATTCTCCTTGAAAGTAATTTAAAAAAAAAATTATGATTGGGTGTTACACGTTTTTAAAAACACTGCTAGATTACAAAAGTTAAAATTCATCGTAAGCGATTTGGTAGTTATTTTAATGTAAAATGACTTGATATTTGAGGTTCAAACGGTAATTGCTTAGTTTTAGGTCAAAAGTATAGATTAAGAATTTTTTTAAAAAACGATTCTAGGAATAATGACTTTTTGAAATTGTTTTCTTGTTTCTATTTTTAAGATTGTGTTCCTGAATAAAAAAAGAAATATTTAAACATTTCGAAAGATAAAATACAAAAATATTTTCTATCGAAAAATATATTAAAATTAGCGTTTTATATTTAGCACTAGGAGGCTTCGCCCCCTGCTCGCTGGCGCTCGCCAACCCCCTGAGCTGCTTTCGCAGTTCATTTCGGATTGCTTCGCAATCCGAAATGAACTCCGCTTTGCTCGCTCATTGGATACGTTCTTAACGTCTAGCTTTTGTATACTTTATTGAACACTGAAGTTCCGGAAGCTCTTCACTGTAGAAAATTCTAAACCTGTGCACTTCAATATTAATTTGAAATTGCAAACAGTTCACATATTTTTCTTAATCACACTATTCTAAATTTCAGTTGTTGAGAAAAGTAACTGTTGTAAGTTTTGTTTTAAAGTCTTTCCCACCAGAGGGCTAAAACCATGTGTTGTAAAACAATATGAAATAGTACTGAACGCCGGATGTAAAGCATCGGCTTCGATGAAGATAATTTTGTGAGAATTTTTTTGATAATTCGGTGAGAATTCACCCGTTTAGACATATGATGCTCACTACGTGCTCTTGCGCGCCGAAGCCTATCAATTAAAACGTATTAGCGTTTTATATAATATAGATTAGCCATATGATGCTCACTACGTGCTCTTGCGCGCAGAAGCCTATCAATTAAAAATGAAAACTGTTGCCAACGCGAGAAAAGAAATATCATCGGTTTTATTGATACATACGTATTAACGTTTTATATAATAAGATTACATAATAAGATGCTTTCCAATCTATTGCAGTAAAATAATTTCTAAGAAAAAAAAGTGTTGAGCTTGAAAATAATAATTTTAGGTAAAAAAATATATAAAAAATAGGACAACTTTTTTTTCCCTCTTACTTTCCTCTTTTTTTAATTTTTTTTCCTAAGCTAAAACAATTTTTTTTTTTTGAAATTGTGGCTTTTCGGATTCCTACTTTTTAAATTTAAAGTTCTGTAGTTAACTAAAGTAAAAATTTTAAAGACTTTTTTTTTCTTTTTCTTTTTACGGTAATGAATTATTCGAAAGCAATAGCTTATAAGGTGTGATAATTTTTGTCTGTTATGAATATTTAAAAACAGTCAGAATAACTCAGGACACACGAAAATTTTCAAAAGGTAGTAAATTGACAACTGATCATTAAAGCAGTAAATCGCTCTCCTTTGCACGGGTATAAAAGTTTCAGTCTCCATTTTAAAAAAATTTCCACGATTTCTTTCATAATAGGCTTAACCGGCAGGAGCTGTAACGGAAAATGAAGTTTTCTCAAAACTTCATTTAAAGTCGATGGACACTATTTTTCAACAGATACAGAGTTTAATTAAGGATGATTTTGATTAAATTTTGCCCACTTCTTTAAGTTAAAATTGATTAGTGATTGAGTAAAGGATTTTGGTCTAGAACATTACTTTGCTATGCAATATATAAAGTAAATTTAACCAACACTCTCTTTTTTTTTTCTCTATATAATCGACTCTCAATAAATTTTGAAAAAAATTCAATTTAAAGCTTTTTCAAATCTCTCTTTCAATATCTAAGAAATTCTATCTAGGAAAAGTGTTCAAAATTTTAATCAGATTGGTTCTTTTGTTTCCTGATCACAATGAAAACACTTTTTCACAATGACAACATTCGAAAATCTTTTTGCAAGGTCTAAATTTTCAATATTTTGTTAACACCAAACTTTAATTTTATTTAAATTTAAAATAAAATGAGTTGCCACTACAACTAATTGTCTGTAAAAAATAGTTCTTGTAAATAAATTATAAATATGTTATAATTATCAAACTCTTACTTCCCCCTCACCCGAGGTGCTCGACACCTGACATAACGGTATAATTTACAATTTTTAGATAAAAATTTCAAAAAAAAAAAAAAAAAGAAAAGAAAAAAAAAACAATATTCAAAAGCTGTTTTTTCGTATACTTAAATTTTGAATAAAGTAATAATTTCATTGTGTTAAAAAAATAATAAAGAAGATAATTCCTTTTTTTTTTGCCCTTCAAGACATATGCTACCAATTAACTTACTTTGTAAAAGAGGCACTCTGTGCCTTTTCTGTTTGCAGCCTCGATTTCTTTTTTCTTTTAAAAATAATAATATTTAAATTTTTGTTGTAGGCGTAAGGTCTTCTCTAAGGTTTTACATTGTTTGGCTAAAAATTTTTCTTCTTGCGTAATATAAAATAGGGAAGTTCAAATATCTGCTTCACTCATAAATCATTTTACTTTTTTGTGACATTCGTAAAGTTATTCCATGAGAAAAACATTCGCTAAATGTTGTACAATCACGCTTTAGGATTCGCTTCCCCAATGTGAAGAGATTACCTCTGCAGTTGCAGTTACTGGTTACACGCTATTTGGCATTAAAGAAAAATTATTTAAGCGACCTCAAACTCATGCTGAAATCTAAAAGAAGTATTATTGTTTGCTGGCGATCGTTAAATTATTATTTTTTTAACACTTTTATTGCGAGTAAAATATTACTTTCGAAACAATAATTAGCCGAGTTTTGAAGTTTTTTTTAAAAAGTTTTTGAATTTCTAAATGTAAATTATTTTATTTTTCGGTATTGCAGTATGTTCTAAACTTCTTAACTACGGTGAAATATAAACATATTTGTGACGTTAAAAATTGAGAAAAGCGTTAAACACCCACAAAAAGTTCTCAAATGTATAAATCTCAAATTTAAGTTCTCAAATGTATATTGTATTTCTGGTGCGAAAATCCAGCGCAAACAAATTATACTGTTATTATACTAAACGTTATTAAAAGTTTATGCCATCAACTAAACAGTCGTTGTTTCAAAAAATTTTCACTGCGATTTTGAGAAATGTTTAACATTCTCCCTTGAAAAATTATGAAGAAGCGGACATAAGTATTTGGATTACTTAAATAATTTTTTTTGTTGCAAATTTCTAATGGGATACCTGCAAATGACGTAATGTGGGTATCTCGATCGTGATTGGTTGTTGAAAGTTAGCATTTGTTTGTGTTAGCAACTGTTCTTTCCATTCTATTTCCAGTTAACAAAAACCGTCAAGTATCAATTATCTTAAGTGACACATTGTATATTCTACTATATATTTCTCACTTAACACAAAGAGAGACACAAAG